CAGGTATTCCATGTTATGTGTGAGTTCATAAAATGTGATTTAATTTCAATCTGGTCAACTAATTTAAATGATTCAATTAATGACATCCACTGTAATATGAATTGTTTGCTGGCTGATTGATAGTTAGGAGGGGGGCAGAATAGAGTATTGTGTGTAAAGCGTTGAAGGAAAGCAGAGAGAGAAGGGGGGTTTTGGTGCAGCCATGCAACCTGTTTGCTGCATCAACTGTTATGTGAAAAATCTGAGGCTGGGAGCAACTAAAGATGGATGATTGATATACTATACTGGACAGAAGAATGAGTTTAAGTAATGGCAAGAATGTTGCTACTGTATATAACGAACCTTTTGCAAATCACAAATATAGTATGCATAAGAAATTACATTAGGAACGTGTGTTGCTATTGCATTAAATAAATAACACACTGAATTCGTTAAAATCTGTATTTAAAAGAAAGTAACACTATGATTAGATTTAATTTGATGTGAATACATCCTTCAGTACTTTTTTTTTTACTGCTAGTGGGGTGGGATTAAGTCCCTTGTACTGCTGCCACTTGTGGCCTATTGTACCAGCCCCAGATGATAGGTGAGGGTGATTGTGGAGCAATTGGTGGAATGAAGATTGGCAGGGGAAACTGAAGTACTTGGAGAAAAACTGCCTCAGCGCCACATTATCCACCACAAATCCCACTTGACCAGACCCTGGATTGAACCCGGGCTGCCGCAGTGGGAAGCCAGCGACTAACCACTTGAGCTGTGGTGCAGCCATATCCTTCAGTGTATACAGAGTGTAAATAAATGTGTTACAATGCTCTGTGGTAGATGGGTTCAATCTGATCATATTTTGTTAAGACACACATGTCTGGAAATGTTTTGTTTATGTGCTGGGGCCTCTGAAATGAGGAGGACACTCTTACCTCTTACCTCTGTGGCTTACTGGTGACATTTACCTAACATTTCTTCAAGAGACCTTACCCGAGCTGCTGGAAGTAGTGCTTTTGGAAGTCCGTCGTGAAATGTGGTTGCAGCATGATGGTGCACCAGGACACTGCACTAATGTCGTCTATGAGTATTTTGATGGAATTTTTGACAACAGATGAATTGGACGTGAAGGCCCAATAACCTGGCCCACTTGCTCCTCTGACTTTACTCCACTGGATTTCTTTCTCTGGTGGTACAGACAAAGCCTGGTGTATGAGACTTCAGTGGCGAGACAACATGATCTTGTGGCAAGAATTGCAGTAGCAGCTGGAACCATCAGGGAAATGCCAGGAATCTTTCAAAGAGCTCAGCATAAACATAGTCAGGCAATGCAGAACAGGCAATGAAGTCAGCGGCTGTCATTATGAGCAACTTTTACAATGTAAAACAACGATAACATCCCCTAAAACTTATGCATCATCTCAGAAACTTTTGCTACTCTTAGTGCCAAAAGGAAGTGTTTCCGGACATGGGAGTTTTAACAAAATATGATCATATTGAACCTATCTACCTACCACAGCATTGTAATATATACACATAGTTATTGACACCCTATATATAATATGTACTGATTAACGTATTCAATATTAGCTGCATGAAATTTCTGTTAACATATTTTTCAATTTAATTTGTTTACACTCCACAGAACAGGTCCCACAGGCAGCATTCATCGTGGACCCTCAAACAGAGATTTTAAATCACCCGATTTTAACAAAAGTAGGCATGAATGATATGCCACGCAAGGCCATCACATAACCACCATTTTAACTTCATTACAGTCAGTATTAAGAAACAGGATGACATGAGAACTAGTGAGGTGGGAGATACAGCTGTCACCATGCACCTACATCACACACCACCACGCATTTGTCATTAGCAGGGCGCTTGAAGGGATGAAGCAATTTTAGGTTAAGTTAAGTTAACACAACTGTGCACCTCCTTCCACACTGGGGCAACATTTGGTGAGACTGAGCAATGTTAGATTAGCGCAACACATCAATGCATTTCCAACTGCACACCGCCCTCATTGGAACTGTTTCGTGAGACTGAGTTAGTGTTTGGTTAGGATAGGTTTTGTGCATCCACTTCTGTCCGCTGGCGTTAGGTTGGGTTACACTGTGGTAATTTTCAGTATATAGACGAAACATCAACCTGTATCCATCAAAGAGTGAAACTGGGCCCCGACGTTTTGGACAGTTTGCAAATCAACAACTCCATCTTATTTTCTCCTCAGGCAGTCAAATACTCTGAAGTGTTGAAAGAAGGACTTTCTAAATTCCTTAAGTTTTTGATTTCCGATAATGTAAAATTTTGGTGGATTTAGGAAAGTATAGGTTTCAAATTCTGAACTTATAGAAAATTTTTAACAATTATTTGAAATAAATGAGTTCCAAAGTTTTTAAGACGTGCTAAGTATTCCTTGAGTATATTGAAAAATTCCGAAATTCTGCAAATTTGAGTAATTTTTTATATTATTTAAGAAAATCAACACAATAATACCACTTAGTTCGTGAATGCACTGATGCGTTATAGGAAACCTCGTTCACGAACTGTTTGTACATCCATTTTCAAGTCTTGTTCACATTTCGTTTCTTACTTACTCATGGAGCTGAGCCCTTCTTGAGGAGCCGCTAATTCTGCAGCTACTCAAGAATTTCCCAAAATTTTATGGAAACTGTAGGTTCATTACCGTGTTCACCAGAGACCTCCACTGGTCCCTATCATGAGCCAGACCAATCTGATCCATACCATCCCATCCTATCTCTCTAAGATCCATTTTAATATTGTCCACCTATGTAGGCTTTGGTCTTCCAAGTGGTCTCTTTCCTTCTGTCTTTCCCACCAGTATCCTATATACATTCCTCATCTCCCCCATTCGTGCTACATGCCCTGCCCACTTCATCCTCCTTGACTTGATCATTCTAATTATACTTGGAGAAGTGTACAAGTTATGAAGCTCTTCGTTATGCAGTTTCCTCCATCCTCCTGTCACTTCACCTCTCTTCGGTCCAAATATTCTCAACACCCTGTTCTCAGATACCTTCAGTCTATGTTCCTCCATTAATTCCAGAGACCAAGTTTCATGCCCATACAGAACCACAGGCAAAATTATAGTTCTGCATATTTGTCTTTTTGTCTTTAGACAGCAGATGAGAAGACAAAGGGTTCTGGACTGAATGGTAGCAAACATTACCCGAGTTCAGTCGCCTCTTAATTTGCTTCTGAATCAGGTTTTGATTTGTTATAGTCATTCTTGGATATCTGAACTGTGCCACGTTTTCAAAGTATCTGTTACCTATTTTTATGTCATGATTTTGCCCTGCATTGTGGTGACGAGATAGCAACAGGTTAGAAGTTTTCTCTGTGTTTATTTCTAGACCAACCTTACTTGCGTCAATTAAAGTTTGTGTGTTTATCTTCATGGTATTGTGGCGTATTTGCTCTATGCGGGAACTGTTGAGCTACAGAGGCCTCAGGGCACGCGAGCAACGGGAGAGTTATGGATTTTATTGGCTCGTTGCTAGGCAATGAGTCGGCAAACACGTCCAACAATGTAGGCTGTTTTCTGTGTGGTCCGCGAGAGGCCTATATAAAGTTCTTTTATAAGAGGCTTAAACTTCCCCTGTGTGGAGGCGGGGTCGAATACCACCACCATGAACCTGCGACTCAAGAGGCGACGAAACGGGAAGTCTCAAATCTGAGACAGTAAAATATGGTTGCGAGTCCCAAGGGACTCAGACCCGAGAAAGACCGCGCTGGCAAGGGCCTGCAGCATATGCAAAAGACAGACCCATCCTCTCGTCAGAGAGGGCGCCCCACAGAAACAAGACCGTAACTGTCAAACGGTAATAATTAATATCTCGACACCAAGACTTACTGACTGACTGACCGTTAGTCGCAATGTGACTTGGACTTGGGCTTAAACTTGGCGGCGGTCAAGCATACGGCCGTTCAAGTGACTAGACTGCCGTTATAGCGGAAGCTACTTGAAATAGGGCATAATCTGCTGTACTGAAAGAGGCCCTGTATATATTGAATACATTTATCATGTTTAACATGTAAAATGTAAACATCGTTTACATTATGACAAATGACTTACTACTACAGGCAATGACCCTGACAAAAAAAAAAAAAAGACCCGTCCTCTCATCAGAGAGGGCGCCCCACAGTAACATGACTTAAACTGTCAAATAGTAATAAATATCTGGTCATGAACTCCAGATTTTGCTCGACACCAAAATTGACTGACTGACCGTCAGTCGCAATCTGACTTCGACTTTGCTGAGACAGTGACAGTTGAAATATACCAGCCGCCGGAGGCAGTTGAAGCTTGGAAGTGACTACAGCAGGAGAAGTAACTGGGATACTGAAGTTGTGAATTATGTGTGGATGAAAATGTGCAATAAATTCGCTAGATCCAAGACCGGCGTGAAGTTATTTGTCGCGTCACACAGCAAACACGTGACAGTATATTTATCACCCGGTAGTTTACATCAGCGGCATGATTGGCATAGACCAACAGTTGATGTATCCCGTTTAATTGCAGTCCCACCTGGTTTTCCTGGACCTTCCTAATGGCATATTCTAATGATAGGAAATTTATCAGACAACTGCTTACCTATGCGGACTTTACAATACGTGTCTTTTAAACAGATTTTAATCATTCCAACTAGCTTTCACGACATGAACTCTATCAGAATATTGTACAATACTTCCCTCCTAACTGAATCATAGGCTTTCTTGAAATCTACAAATAGCTGATGTACTGTCTCATTGTACTCCCATTTTCTCCCATTTTTCTCGAATGCAAGAGATCCATTTCGTGTCTAGGCACTATTTTTAAGGTGCGAGGACGCTTGTAGCAGTACGACTGGCGACTCGAGCAAACATTCCTGCCACGGTTCACACTAATGATCTTTGCTGCACCCTGCCATGGATCACCTACGCTGCAATACATATGTCGTACAACAGATGGCAGTGGTCTGTTTCATACAGAGAGATTTAGATTTTGGATCGGAAAATGGTAAAAATGTTGGAAAGCTACGATCGCTACGATATAATTTATGTCTGTGTACGGGCACAGAGTAGTTGTGACCGGTTGAGACTGAATGGCTGAATTCGATGTTTAGGGTGGAAGTTATTACTGATGGAGAGGGGAACCGTCGAAACGTTCTACAACAAAATTGTTTTGTATCTTAAGGACAGTTAACGACATCTCGCTTGAGAGATGGATAAGCATTCATTCTATGCAGTTGATGACCTGCTATATGTGGAACTTGTGACCCATTTTATTATTTACTGTTACAATATGCTTCCGGGAGCAGTTGTAGCCTTGTGGGCTTCCTGAGTCATATGCTTTGTAGATTTCTGTATGTAAATGCGAAATGTTTTGTTGGTATTGGCTCAATGTGCATTGAAGATTGTAACATTTGTCCATTCAGGAGGTTTGTGCTGTGTTTTTATCTAGTATTAACATAGTGGTAATAACTAGTTGTGCTTATGGACTTTGACACATGGACTTTTTCTGTTTGACAGTTCAAGTATGGCAACTGCATCGGTACTGGATTGGACAGTAGACGATGTTGCCATTTGGCTGCGTGGGAATGGACATGAACAGTACATAAATTTGCTGTGTGAGAATCATCGTATTGATGGGAAAGCATTACTTCTTTTGGCAGAAACTGACTTTCGAACAGCCCCACTCAATATACAGGTGGACTTAAGTAATCATTTATGTTATGCTTTTAAATTGCTAGGTGTTTGTTTATTCCTATGGGGATATAACATATTTTGATCAGCAAGTAGAAGCCCTGGGTAAAGTGGAATATGTGACACTGCTGATTTTCCCTCAGACGATGAGATATATTTCTGTTACGGTTGCACAGTGACAGGTTAGGATGTAATGTAAGATAGAATGGTTTATGTGAGATGTAGTAACACCAGTAAACTCTAATTCTGACTGGTAAGGAGGCAGATCTATAAGAATGGCTGTGTCAGACTAATAACTCTAAATGAATTCTGTAGTATATGAGTTGCTATACTTTATGTTTTGTGACATGATGCAGTGTGTCTGTATACTGAATTCTTCAAATCTTTTGTTTTGAGTTATTGACAGCAAGACACTTATGTTATGCAGTCGACTGTAAATACAGTTTTGTAATTGTATCCAAGCCGCTGAAATAATTTCTTCTAGATTTTTTACTTTTCGAAGTACAGTGATTTATATGAAATGAAGTATGTTATCAGTACATGGAAAAGTGATTCAATAGATGTAGTTGTCTGGGAACATGTGTATTTTTATTTTCTTTTGTTAAGTCTACAAGTGCTGAGGTAATTAAAGAGAGATGCACAATAATATGATCTGGAAAGATATTGCCTATCACAGTCTCATAATATAAATTATGAATTGTCATATTTGGCCATGTTTAACCTTGACAGATCATTCACTCACTAACTCCCTCACTCACTCACAGAGCTGAGCCCTTCTAGAGAAGCCGACAATTTTGCGGCCACTCAAGAACTTCCCAGAATTTTATTGAAGCTGAGGTTTCATTATTATGTTCACAAGAGCCCTCCACTGGTCCCTATCCTGAGCCTCATCAATCCAATCCATACCATCCCATCCTATCTCTCTAAGATCCATTTCAATATTATCCGCCCACCTACATCTTGGTCTCCCTATTGATCTCTTTCCTTCTGCTTTCCCACAAATATCCTATATGCATATCCTGATCTCCCCCCATTCATGTATTGTATTGTATTTGTATGTATTGTAAGTTCAGGAGATCCAAAGATGGATATAGAACATGTTATAAAGTAATATAGAGCATAGAATAATACATAAATATTACATAACTAGACAGTACAATGAATACAACAATAATAAAAATCATCTATTTAGATATTCAACCATATTATAAAACGTATGAGTATTCAAGAAATGTCTAAATACAACCTTAAACTTTTTAAAATTATTGGATGTGTTCTTGATCTGTATGGGCAGTTTATTGAATATATTTATACCCACATAATAAACTTCTTTTTGATAAATAGTTAAATTAGCTTGAGGTAGATACAAATCTTGTCTTTTGTCTAGTATCAATAGTATGAGAATCAGTGTTTGATGGAAAAAGAACTTTATTTAGCAATACAAATACTAACAACGAAAATATATATTGTGATGCAAATGGTAAAATATTTAACTCTTTACATTACTTTAACATAGTTAATATAATAGTGTTATATAAGGTCTCATAAAGAAATAAAACACATTCTATGGAAAGTTTAGCAGTAGGTGTTGTATAAGAGCATGCTAAGGAAAAACTGGTACTTATACATGATCACGGTATTATGAAGTTGTTATGGATATGTTCATTGTTAATAGTTAATAAGTAGGCATAATGTTAAAGTGCTGTAAATTGATTGTAGTTATTGGATTTTAGGTGCTAGGTGATGTGAAACGACTGAGTTTAAGTCTCCGCCGTTTGCAACTGGAGAATCAGCAAGCATTAATAAGTCTTGGCTATGATCCTGTCTCCATGCTGCATCTCTCAAACAGTTCTTATTTAGGTCCAAACTCTGTGATGATGCATTATTATGGTTCACAAAGAAATGAGGTTAGTTTTGGTAGAAGTTAATATGTTGTACTTATATTGAACTGAGTAAAACTGACATGACTCATCAAATTTGTTCTGAAATTTTATTGAGACCACATATATGAAAATTGATTACAATTTTGATTTGGTTCTGAATTATTTAGTACATTGGAATTATGCAGTATTTTACCCTCCCAAATAATGAATTTTGTATATTGTATTATTTTGTTGAATTTTTAATGTGCTTTTCATCCTGAAAATAAACTAATAGAATTATGAGGTCACCATGCTGTCTGTATTTGTGCACGTGCATTCTCTTTCAATTTTTAACCAACTGTCTTTTCATGACATTTTATGTGAACATTTTAACTACTGGGTGTAGGTGGTAATAATGTGGTGGATGCACAAACTCGCAAGGGTGGAATGACACTTTAATGTCATTTAAAGCTTATGTCCTGAAATGGTGTATTCAGGTAGATCTTCAAAAAGTACACAATTTTATGTTAAGGTATTTATTTTGTAGAATTGTGTTTAGCTTTCAGTTTCATGGCACCAGCTAATGAACTATCGGGGCTAGATGGATAACCTACACATTATATGTAAAATATTGTAAGTCAACAGTTACTTAAGGTGTGAAACTTTTAGGTTATGTGTAACAAGTTTGATGTAGAGTCTGTAATTAAGTGATAAGTTCTTCACAATATGTAGATTTCCAGGAAGACCACAATTTTAAAATTAAATTCAAACAACTTTTAGTGTGGACACCGAATACAAAATTTCATTGATATCAACTGAGTAGATTTGAAGATGATACATGCAAACCGGCAGACTGAGAGATAGATGGACAGACAAGACCTCCCCATTACATATTAATTTTATGCTTTTAACAAAGGGCATAAAAATAAAAATAGACACACGTAACAGACCCTAAGAATAATGATTGAAACTTGTTCTTACATAGGAATAATTGAAACCTTCATGTTTCAGGGAAGTGTGGACTCTTTGCTGTACATGGATACAGATCATCATCATTACACTCCTCCGTTATCAGAAGATGGTCGTGCTTCCAAACTCAGGCCAGAAATCTGGAAGGCTCTTATAAGTCTCGGATATCTTTTTGTAGTAACATGGATAACAGCGTTTGTGATGGTGATTGTGCACGATCGTGTTCCTGACATGAAAAAATATCCACCCTTGCCAGACATTTTCTTGGATAATGTTCCCCACATACCATGGGCTTTCCACATGTGTGAACTCACAGGGACATTGCTCCTATTCATTTGGCTTATAGTTCTTATGTTCCATAAGCACAGGTTAGTTCCATCTTAACAGCATATTAACCCTTCAGTGATGCAGGACATTTAATTCAGGCTTACTCCTGGTGGCCAGGGGATATTTAAATATTAAAAACAAAAAGTGCAACCTTTTACTTGAAGTGTAATAAATCAAAGAAAACTTTTTTGTTGTTGTGATTTTCACAATAAATTTACAAACGTATAGTATTGGAGTATTGCTGCACAGTGCTTTCAGGTTTTCTTTTTGGGACAGTAAGCTTATAAAAATTACGAATCATTATCATATTAATTATCATATTAACTTAGAAATTCAGCTGGTAGTGGTAGTCATGGAAACAGTCCATGCAGAGTTCCAAATCCCATAAGCATAAACAGACCCAATACAACATAAAATTTCTCCCTCTGTCACAGGTTTCCATGCCGTAGCAGACGACCTGACTGATAGCTCATGCCCGCATATCCGTTTGTTTTTTTGACAATAGTGTTGATTAGTTCTTTGCTGAAAAACAATTCAGAATTACCAGAATTTCTGTAACATGTTTCGCAGCAACTTGAGGTCCAGCACTGCCTGTGAAATTTTCCCTTTGTCCCGTATAGTTTTGCATGTTCTCCCCAGTGAAGTCTTGAATACCACTGCTCTCATCTACCACAACATCAAAGAAAGTACGATTGTGCAGTTCATTTTCAGTGTCAAATTCTGAATCTCATAAATTTTGTTCTGATTCGTTTAGAAGTAAATACTCTCCCACTTCATCACAACACAGCTGACCGCTTCCTTCACATGCTTGCCATGGCTGCTACAAGCAAACTGCATGGTGCGTAGTTATGGAACAAAGGAGAATGTACAATAGAGACATTCATATGGACAGGTGTTGTTTCCTACTTGGCAGTCATAACACACTTCTTTAGAGTCAACATCCCATGTTCAATTGAAGTCATAGTTTCTACACATGGTTTCTTATGGTTACAAATACCCATGTAAAAGCACCACTTGTCTGGACCATGTATTCTTCAAAATCCCCAACGGAATTGACTTTTGATTTGAGCAACATGTAGGGTCAGCACACACACTGTCAATCCAACGTATTTAGTTCATAAGAATTCCCCAAGGTGGAGATAGGTTTGTATGGTAATATAGCGCACCAACTGGAGAGTTACAAAACATTTTTAAAAAATTCAAATGTAATGCAAATGCCACAGGAAGTTCCAAGTGGGACAACACATATATGAAATGATAGCCTGCAATTTCCTATTTAATTTCATACCAAAAGATTTACTGTACGTGAAGAACAAGAGTTCAAAATAGGAGCTGAATCTTACCACTGCACTATGCGTGCTATGTACACATGACAGTGACATTTGACAGAAACCATTGGCATACTGTGTATGCATATCAGCATTGAAGGGTTAAACATTTATCATGTGGGCTTTATAAAGAATGATATTAGGTCCTCTTACATACTCTTGGCCCTTCAGTTGTCAAATAGCTCTGGCCTCATTAATGATAGCTGCCCATTGTTCTCTATTTGCCTTTTGCATTTCTTCACTTTCATCTCATTTTAAATCATTTTCTTCATCATCCAACAATTTAAATCGAAGATTTTCAAATTTTCTTCGTAATTTGTAATTTTTACAGAGAAACCAGTTATGGGGAACACCTCAGTCAGCATGAACAGATTGCTTTGTACTGTATATGGCCTTCAAGCGACCATCAGGATGAGACAGAACAAGCAAGACTGAGGGGTTTTATGTTTATAATGATTGTTTAGATGTACTAATTAGATTTGTAGACTGTTATTTATGTCATGCAAAGAGAGAGACAGAGTATGAGTGTTTGGAAAACTGCTGCAGTGTGTGAATCAGAAGAGGTTTAACATTGCATTAGAAAACTTACTGTTATGTACACATTTTGGGCTAACCTTGAATTTGGCTAATATATCACAATTCATACTAGGTTCATTCTCCTGCGCCGTTTCTTTGCATTGTCGGGAACAGTTTTCTTGCTTCGCTGTGTCACAATGCTTATAACTTCGCTCTCAGTGCCTGGGACACATCTCCAGTGTAACCCAAGAGTGGGTAAGGATTCGGATGAATGGAAGAAGCATGGGGAGCTGTGGGCAAAAATACAACATGCCTACATAATTTGGAGAGGAGCAGGCATGTCTATCCAGGGGGTGAGAACGTGTGGCGACTACATGTTCAGTGGCCATACTGTTGCTCTGACAATGCTCAATTTCTTCATCACTGAATGTGAGTAGCTTAGAGTTTTGAGAGTGGAACTTAAATAAATTTGAAACATTAAAAAAAATACAGTCTCTATTAATATAATAAAATTAGATGTCCACTGCAGCACTCAGTGTATTAATGTGTACTTACTTACAGAGAGGCCCAAAGAAAAGTATGCACACTTTAACCCGTTGCCGTGGTTTGACGTGTATGTTTCATCAGGTATTTAAATCGTCTGGGGGGGTTCGACGTGTATGTTTCGTCCAGCTGCACACCTATGTTATAACGCCCATAATAATTGATGGTTTTGCTGTAGATTGTTAGATTTTTCGCTGGCCTGTTGTCAGTAGAACAGAGTATAAATAAGACACGACTTTATCTGCGCTAAGTCATAGTTACATATGCCTGTCTTGCAGCAAAGTTCCTGTGGCTCT